CTTTTCTTTGCAAGCTCCTTTGACTACGATGACCTGGATGACTGAGAACCTTCACAGACATACCTAACCTTTACCTTCTTTTTTTTCTAAAGAAACCCAAGAACCATCACTCATGTGCTCTAGCAAACTGTTTTACCTAATAGAAGGTTATCATATGAAAATATTGACTGATTATTTCCTGTATTTTCTAAATTAATGAATGTTTGACTTCAATGGCAACAATGATCATAATAATTAAGCATTGGGACACTAATATAGACCCTTACATAGCTGTAATGGGCTAGTGGTCGTATGAAGCTAAAACAATAACGCTGAGTTGGCCGAAACATCAGCTGAAGCTGGAGGATGCATCAAGAAGAACATGTGGCCGAGCTGAAGCACATCTGTCAGGAAGATTGAACTGAAATTCTTCCCCACCTGAGTGTTGTACTCAGCTAAGCCAGAGACAAACTAACCCAATAAACATTACTGCTGCCAAATAGAGGTTTAACCAGTAGTCACATCCAGCAGATAACTTTTTTAATATCATCTGATGTGTTTTGCAAACAAATTAAGCTATCTGCCATTAACTTTGCTTACAGTGTCAAAATCCCTCCTTTTCAAAAAGATCTGTTGGCCCCAGCAAATGCTTTATGCTCACACTTCACTGCTTTCAAATGGAGAGGCATTCAGTGTGCGTCTGGTGGGGTGGGGGTCGCTGTACATGTGCTGATGAATAGCAGAAAATGTCCTGGATACTCGACTCGGTTTTGTTTTTGTCACCATTGGCAGCGAACCAGCTAGTAACGCTGGCGAACACTGATCGGGTGGAGAAGCTTGGAGACTTTTCTTGCATTTTGGAGCAGTTTCCAACTGAGACAAATGCAGCAGGTCAGACATCTATATGTGGTTCTGAGTGAGGTGGTTGGGGCGACACAGGCTGAGCAAAGGGGAAAGTATAGGGAAAGAAACAGCACGGGAATTAAGGGCAATTTCGTATTTCTTGCCCACTCTTACTTTTTAAAATCTTCCACATCCTTGAAAAGATTTAGCAGCTTGAAATGTCACTCATCCTAACCGTGTTGGACAAGTTGGCTTATTTTCTGTCTCTGATAGCGTTTTGTGTCAGTGTGTCCTACAGCTGGCTGAAATGAAACTAGGCTCTTCTGACAATGACTCGGTGTTTCGGTGGATATGTAACTTTTTTCAGTGGATATTTAAATGATCCTGAGGTTTGGGGTTGAATTAGGATGATTTTACTCAAAACCTGTGGACACCTGACACCTGAGTGTAAGTTTCTGAGTCTTTGTTTTATTTAAACATTTATGCATGTTCTGTGATATTCCACCCTGTATAGTTCAGAGCAGACAGCTGCCATCCCACACATTACTGCCCTTAACCCTATGAGGTCTATGTCATCACTGGTGACAAACCTAATATGTTTGTTTGTTTTTAAATTATTCACGAGGGTACAAAGAAAATCAAAAGGTATTTATATTCTTTCCAAAAAAGTCCTTTGTGCCGTTCCAAAATATGAGTAGGATTAGCGTTATCAGTAATGAAGACACTACACTTTAAAAGATTAATGTGCAAGCTATGAGGATGTTAAATCTGTGCTAAAATAGTCAATTGTAACTAAAGACAGTGCTCTCTTTGCCAAAGATGACAATGCTGCAGTGGGGAATCCTGAGACCACACCATGTGCTTGCCTTGGTGCTATGTGTGTCAGCCGCTGAGGACTTTGACTGGACAAAGAACGAGAGGACGTCCTTCTACTACGGCACCTTCCCAACTGGTAGGAAACCAAGATCTCAGAGAAAGCAGACCACATGCTGGACTTACAGTTCCACAGGAGAGCAATATAGTAAAATATCTCTCTGGTATATTCAGCTAAACTCATTTTTGTTGTTAGAATCGAGTATTCCTAGTTCCTACATGCAAATCCCAAATCCCGCACTTTTTCACACTCATATTTTTTTTCCAGTGCTCAGAGTTAAATCTTTATTATGTAACCAATTTATTAAACAATCTGTCACAAAACCAAGAAAATACAAATATCTTAGTCATCAGCAACTGGAGTTATCTGAGAATTCATAAATTAATCAAGCATAAGATTCTTCCACTACGACTTGTTCTTCTGACTTCACCCTTCAGACGTTCCCACAGGGATGATCTGATATC